CATGACGAAAAAAAATAATAAAGATAACTATTGCATCATACTACAAATTTATAATAACCTAAATTTTGGTTAATATCTACTAAATTTGGAAACATTTACCAGGCATGAGCCGGAAAATAAACATACTTTGATGGTTTTCTGTAACCGAAGAAGAAGTTTCGTTGCCATTAAAGTTCGAGTATGTAACAATTGTAAAACAAGCATTATAGTCTCAAAACAAAGCAAGCGTGAATTAATATAGAAAGTCATTATCTAAGTCTCATGCCATTAGTTGCAATATAAATAAGAAGATGTGGTATGAGTGCCAATGAGACAACTATCCAAGGTGTGGTATGGGTGCCAATCAGACAACTATCCAAGATGTGGTATGAGTGCCAATGAGACTCATGTCATTAGTTGCAATGTCTGTTATGATACCATAAAAAGAACAGAAAGTTAACATAAAATTGAAAAGGCTTAAAATTAGTCAACAGAGTAATTCTATTTTCAGTGATGGTGCTATGGTGGTATTTTTATGTGACTACTTCAATCTCTGACTTTAATCATTCTTCCAACCTATTCGATTGTGTCATAAGTCATGTTATAAATAGCCACACATAATTAGAAATAAAGTTGCATCTACAATTAAAAAAATAGCATTTAATTATTCATTTACAAAAGAAAATCATAGCACTACGATTTTTTTTCGGACATATACTTTTGCTACTATTTTATTATTGAACATATTTCAGGACTTAATTGGCGTTTGTGTGTCATATCTATCTATAAAGAAATATTAACTTGTTTCTGGTTTAAACTGGTGCATTATATTCTTTTCTTTTAAGTTAAAAATGAACTTGTCTTGGTTGAAAGGCAGGTAGTTGTCGATGTCGCACTCTACTGGTTTGTAATAATACATAAAACGCGAGAAGTAATTCTGGACTTAACGTATTCACATTTTTAAATGTTAAACTTTTTTTTTCATTGCGGAAAACATATTTTTCCTCTTGGAGTGTCTGCATATTACATACTTGTAATTTATAAAAAAAAAATATCGCTACTCCACATAAAAAAATGGGTTTCTCGATTCGCATTTTCCATACACTGCGTAATCATAATCATTATTCTAATTATCTACTCATTCAAAATTTGAAGCTGTTGATGATTATTTGCCATTTATAAAACTCCATGGTCTTCATCTTAAAACAATTATGAAATAATACAAGATACATGTATAAATATGTGGCAAAGTGTAATATCTTGACTGGACTGGATTGGTCCATTCCAGTCAAGATATTACACTTTGCCTAAATCTGTAACTGTCATGTTCTTTAACTTGTAAACCCCTCCTATTTTCATCACGACGGATGTCAAGTCTAATATGTCCAGATCTTACAATTTATATTTCCAGTCTTCCACTACATGTTGATCTGTATCACAACATATCATAATCACTATCTTATGTTTTTATTACAAGTGTTGATATTGTCCGACATTATATAGTGAGATAAGATAAATATGTAACAGTGAAGGTTAATATGCATTTCAATTCATAAATGGAAAAATGGTTTATTTAGTTTGCTAATTACAGAGCCGGAATGAAGTAATTAAAATTCGTTTAGATTTAAGATTGTGCCAGCCATGCACGGGGATATAATATTGTTATACACATTCATGTACTTGGATATATAGTTTACATTGTGGGAGCTTCTATATGTAAATTCGACTGATACAGGATCAAAGTTTAACTGAACAAAAAAAAAATGGACCAAAAGCATGAAGGTATGAAAATTATTATCATATTTAAAAGAACTGTATGCATGCAAGGGTAAATTTATATAGAGCTTTCCCTAACCTTGCAATAACTGTCGACCTTGCTTTGATGAATTAATGTTGAAAACAATGTATATGTATAATAGAATTATGATAAATGTCTTGTTAAAACACAGAAAATATATTTTATCTATTAAATATGTTCACATGCACATATATGGACATTGTTTCCGTTAAGGGTATTACATGCACATATATGGTTCCGTTAAGGGTATTACATGAACATATATGGTTCCGTTAAGGGTATTATATGCACATATATGGTTCCGTTAAGGGTATTACAGTCACACATAATACCGGAGTCAGTTCAAACTTGGTTTAGTCAGGAAACAAGTTGTCTCCGACATGAATATCATAAGAAAAATTAGATTTATACACTGACCACGAAGTGTGGGAAGGGGGAAAGGGGGTGGGGTGGGGTGGTGGGTTTCATAAACATATTGAAAAAGATGTAAATATATTTAAATATATGACATGCACTGAGAAAACATGATTAATGTTATTCCTAGTCCTGTGGTACTGTCATTGTGATTTAATTTTATTCTAAGCATTTTCGTTGAACACATTCATTGATTGAGATGGGGTTTTAACACACACACACACACACAGCACACACACACACACACATCTGTTGCCGCTTGGAGTGGAAGAGGGGAAAATATGGGGCAATTGTTTGGAATAAATTATCTATTAGCCTTGAAATCTTCAGGAATGAACTGAATTGACATAAGAATCTATCTGGGTCACATATTTTCTTTTCATTTCCTTTTTTGTTTATTTTGCACTGAGTAGCAGGTGTACAAAACTCGTAGAATTTGCATCCTTTTAGCACACACAGCCGAAAAGAGTCTTAGCTACTGGTCCATTTGATATTGATTATAGAAGAAAAAAATCTCATTACTACAATTGCCTTTTTTCCTTAATCGCCTAAGAGTTCTAGTACTATAGCGCCTATCCGAGGATCTATTGAACTATACGATAATTATGAGGGTTTTTTCACTGGATATGTGCATGCCTACATAATATAGCGCACATTTGGCGACTATAGTCAATATGCAAGCATCACAAACCTCAGTATTATGGATAAACAGACTTCAATGCCCTGGCCGCTTTTCAGGTCGAGATTTATCGTAACCCATAGATATAGTTATATATAAATTCAATTTTGCTTCTTATATTCAAAAAGATTAGAATCAAATTTGAAGAAATTTTTAACCGAGTATATGCTGAAATTTCTGAAACTTTAATAGAAGTAAGAATGTCAATAACAGTCACGTCAGTTTTTATACCAATATGTCAAAATATGCATGAAACATTTGCTACTGGACATAATGCAAAAAACAATCAATCGATCAATCAAATTCAATTTCGCCCCATGTACCGACAAGTTTTGAACAAATATAAATAAGATGTATTCAGTGTCGGCATGGTTTACAAAACAAAGACATAACATAAGCTTTATTGATCTAACCGATATACAAGGCAAAACAATACAAACAAACAAGAAATAAGTTAATTGAAAACACCAAATGGAACACTATAATTTAGCATGGTAACAACTGTAAGCAGATTTTATAAGCCTTTTTGATAGGTATTCAACAAAAGCAAATAAAAACGCAAAAAGTTGAATAAATTTAACAAAGATCTGCCATCAACGCCAAATCACAGGCTCTTGGGGAATGGACCCCTCTCCCCTTTTTTTTTAAATTCAGTTAAAGTAAATTTACATATTTTTATTTGGTACGTAAACCTATTTTTCCCCCTCTTAACGTTTTCTTGCTACAATTTTTACGATTCAACAATAACAGCAGTCATATGACCGATGCCTCGGAAAATAAGATGACAGAGGGACAGCGATCATATAATACTGTAATTGTTGAATCATCGTAAAGTGAGGTAAAAGCTAGAATAAAAAAGATTCATATGGGGTGTCCATTCCCCAAGCGTATGTGCGCCAAATCCATAAAACTTAAAAAAAAATACTCGGGTATATGACGAGTGATGTTCCTAACTGGCTGTAGAGGAAACTCACATGTGGCGGGATTAAACCAGGTACTTCAGTACTAAATTCATTTTTCTATTACTTATTAACTCTACATCCAATATTAAATCAGGTAAGCATGGTTCTGGCTTGCCACGGTTAATAGTAAATATTGTCAAAATGAAAATATGGAAGATGGGGCTAGTAGCAAGTCTAGATGGCTAGGAATTAAAGATATAAAGTCTATATAGTCTTTTCGGAGTTGAGATATATAACTTCTTAAAACATTCTATTTTTCAAACATCCATATCCAGTCACGTTTTATGGTTAGATAATTTGCACGATGCTGGTATATAAATTTGATAATTTCTCAGAGTTAGACAAAATATTTGCAAATATGTTTTTGTATAAATATGCCTCAATTATTTTCGATTATATCTCATGCACACCCGGGATGTTAACTAGAGTACTGACACGACGGACGCCAATCACGGAGCAGGAACTGCTTATCCTTCCGAAGCACTACTCAACTCTAACTTTTTATACGGAGTTAGTGTCACACACTTGTTTCTATCCATGTGAAGGTCATAGTCGACCTTCCCGTGGATAGAAAACAAGTGCCTGTGAACGTTCGTGTTGCTCAATATCAAACAAGAGACATATTTACTTTATATTATTGGGTACTGTATATTTAGTTTCATGTGTTGGGTTTTGTGGACTGCTACATTGTCTGTTCTTATTTTTGACATGATGCTGTGACATGTCTGATTTTCTTCAACTTAAGTTATGGTTTTTAATACTTGTCTTCTCCCCTTTTCAGTATACTAGTTATATCTGTGATTTCATTTCTTGTACAGCCAAGATTTTTATAGCAGTATATGTTTACTACTAAAGTCCTTGGTACAGCGGAAAACCTTTGAATATGTACCTGTCATGTATAAAATGTAAGGATCTCTGATACTGAATAGCAAATAAACTTTCTTTCTGTGTAAGGAAATGGGGTATCCATGAATCAGTACATGTTACAGCTTTCTGTGTCATTTTAAAATTAAAACAGAATAGTAGACTTGTTCGAGGTAAATATATAATTATATCAGCTGGGACAGAGACATATAATACAATTATTATGTATCATATGCCTCTGGCTGGGACTAATACATGAATCTATTGGTTGCAGATGTGAAAAACTTTTTTCATTGACAGGTGCGACTCATATAGAGTTATCTCCCATTAGTTCATCAAATGGCACATCGGATATGGCAGACAACAAACGAAAAACAGAGCAGACACAACACGAACAGAACTTTGGATATGAAGAAACACTGGTAATAACATGATTAATCGTATAGCTTAAAATCTTGTCACACTTAACAGTTTTTAAATAAACCGAGCTCAAAAGCAGCCTAGTGAGTAGTGTACGGTACTCTAAGTCTTGACACAGTCACATTACTGTACATAACACTATAAAAACTTGTCTGATCCCCATGCTCCCAGTGACTGTAAACAAAGTATATAGTATACTACCAAGAAACCAAACATTGGCTCAAATAAACACCTAACTGCTATTCAAATCTTGGCCATTTACAGTAAAGAATTATTAATTTATGTAAACTGTTAAATAACAGGATCCTTAGTATTATATTTATTAAATCACCAAAAGTATGACAAACTGTATATGTTGATGCAGAATATTCCTGTTCTAAGTGTTCTTCAAGGATTTGTGTATTCACCCAGAGACATATATACACAGTGTGTATATTATAATGTCTCGGATTCACCAAACTGTTGTGAATGATAAAAAAATCATAAACAGGTGATAAAATATTAGCCAAAATTTTTATTATTTAATTAAACTGAATTTCACAAAATGGAGTATTCTCTTTGTAGTCCATAAAATTAATTGGCAAAATCTCAAAATTAATTAGGTTTGGTCTGACAATTCAATTTCGGAATGTTAATTTTTGTGATTTTGTTACTTTAGATTAGGCCTAATGGTTCAGCAATCAGTTTTAGAATATTAACTTTAAAATGAACCTGCAGTCTTATTTAAAAGACTAGAGCAATACAGTATGATTTGAATAATTGAGTATGTAGTGTAATTTTTTACCTTTTTTCTGTTATGTTTGTGATGGTTACAGGTAGAACATTATATGGCCCTTGATTTGTGCAGTTTGTAAATAATTTTGACTTCAAAGAATCAAACACCATTGCACAAAGTAAAGTCGAAATTTATGTAAAAAAACCTCCCTGTGTGAAACAGATTGTACAGTGAACATGTACATGGACCTATAATATATGTTGTTGTGCTGCCAGATAAAAACATATTTATGCTGGTTTAACTTTTGTTATATTATGAAAGTTTATAAAAGCTACTTTTGCAGCTTTTATTTAGAATTTCTATGTACATTGTACTGGGTTGTCACTAATGTTTTTTCTGTTTAAATTATGTTTTTTTTCTCCTTTACTTAATAAAATAAACTATTGAACCTGCAATGTAAATATTGGCATGACATCACTAGATGTGATATCAGATTTTCTACTTTTACAAAATTTCAAAATGATAGAATGAAAAACAGCAAATAATTTGTTTAAATAGAATTTTATTTTTGTTACATGAAATGGTGAATATTCTATTCCTGAAGGTAAAAAAGACAAAAATAGATGTTTATCACTGTTTTATGTATAACAATCTGTCATATAATTTTTTTTGTACATTTTTAGACCTTTTAGTATTCTATAGAAGGAATTTCATGTTCATATTTGTAATTGTTCATACATGTAGTTAATTGATATGTTTGATGTTACTTTTGTATCTTGTAATTATTCTGTAACTTTTCTAAATCTAATATTCATTTTAAATTCTGTAAAAAAAATTTAGAGGAAATCATCACATGGGAGAGATACAAAATCATATTTGACAAAAAATGGAAAAAATGTAGTCAACAAACATGTTGACAAGTCTTTGCAGCACTGAACTTTACTTTTAGAGAGATTTTGTCGATATGATGATTCATGGAAAATGCAAAAAACTTGAAATTTGTTTTGAATTGTTGCAATGAAAATCTGACAAGAAATAAGTTATTGGTATGCAAATTATGGTTTTATATACAAGGAATAATAAGGAAATTTTGTTACAGACAGATCAATTTGCACTATGATAACCTTGATAAATTAATAAGTCATTATATACATGTATTTATAAACTAATCATAGCCAGTCTGACCTACACCTTTTGAAAGTTAATACACAAATTATAACAGTTTTTGTTAGATTCCTTTGCCCTTTACAGTCCGTGATTTGTTGATATTACATGTACCTCATATGGCACTCTTATAGATCTGTGTGCTTCAAATCACAGATACAGCTTTATTAACATCACACCAGTTCAACAAAGGTGGATTTACTGGGCAGGGGCGCGGAATCCGGACCCCCTTTATAGAGCCCCATATATGATTTCTGCATACCCTGTTAAGCTTTTTACAAGTCCCACTCCTAATGTTATCTTGTAAGGGCTCTCCTCCCCATTTTTGAAATTCTTGGATATGAATCTGATCAAACCTAGGAACCATCTTTCTTTGATGTGTGAGCTTTAACTTCTTGTTGAAGGTCATACTATCATTGGAGATGAGGAACAGCAATAAAAATGCTGATCCATTTCTTTTTGCATCAGGATTTTGTGTTCACCATTTCCTTCATTCCATTTATAGAATATAGATATAATATAGAGATATTTTAATCAAAGGAAAATGTATTTGTCATATTGTACCACCTAGAGGCAATTTAAGGATAATATAAGCTGTAGTTAACGTGGTATAACAGCACCTTCTTTGTTCATTGGTATGTACTTGTCGTCACAAGATTGTTATACCTTTAACATTGTGTCAAGTCTGTGATAATTGAATGTATGGCTCAGACTACATTTAGTAGTATATATTCTGTACACGGCCATGATTCAAAGGTTAAAACTTATTAGTCTACATGTACATGTATTACAGTTCTTTAGCTTGGATTTTAACACAGATGGGGCACAATTTTAAGACAAGGGGCACATTAGTGTGGTTTTGTCTGAAAAGGGACAAACTTGATCATGTTTGTAGATAAAAAATTAAAATAATTAAATAAATAAATGTTTTTTTGCTAGACATATGGTATAATAGTGTTGTACAAAGCCTTTCCCAGTAGCTAAAATGATTATTTTTAATTGAAAAGTATTTATTTTCCTTCAGAAATAAGATAAATGCATAACACAGGACTATAAGGACTATGGGTGCATAGAAAGGGCAGAGGAGAGCTGTGTCCATCTTTGTGGGGCTCCAAAGGACACAATGTAAAAATATAAAATTTGTACTTATCATGCATGCAACTTGTAAAATAAAAATCCAAATATAATAATTTTTTGGTTAAAATCTCTAACTCACATTTTACTTTCCTAACCATCCCAGAATTTACAGATCTCATCAGTATCCAGTGCTTGGGTATTGACATGAACTAAAGGAAACATTCTATTGTAAATTTCCAACTTTTATAAGATTATGTAATTGTGATAAAATTGAAGTCGCAACTCCTTCAGGCAGTTTACTGATCTGTTTAGAACTTTTTGATTTTTATGGTATCAAATATTTTGTATTTTTGGCTGTCAAAACTAATGTTTTGAGCGTACCTGATGAAGATGATTCAAGAAACACTTATAATATGTGTTATGCACAGAAGTTATAAGCTTTTTACAATGTACCTAACTTATTAATGAACATCATGTGCTGTTAAAATCAGTTGCATAAGGAATCTGGATTAAGTCTTTAATTATGAATTCTTTCTTTACTGAAAATAATGAGATTATTCCTAAAAATCATACTGAATCTTTTTTTGTCTATGTATATCCCATGTTTCCCTATGACCAAAGCCCTAAAACAGTTTTCAGATATGGATCTGCTGTTGTGATATTATGAAAAAGACAGCCCTCACTGGCATTCAGCATCTGTCGCCAAAAGAACCACGAATTAAAAATAAATTATGGCATTATAATATCTACATGTTAAAAGAAATGTCAAATGACTACTTACATGGAAAGAATTTACTAATCTTTAAAGGCATTGATTTGTTTCTCGCTGTGCTGTTAGTAGGAAGTGACATTCTTTGTATTTGATGGCTCATGTTTTGACTGAAGGTTTTTAACATTACATAATATTATACTATTACCACAGTACTTTATCAACATTAAAGTTATAAAACAGGATTTTAATGATTTTCAAACTGTCCGATGTACGGCACCTTTTTAGATGTAAGTTTTAAGCACAAACATGTATTACTTTAATAATAAAAGTTAGTTGAATACTGAAATATTTTATTCAGTTTTTTTATTGCTTCTCTTAAAACAGGACTAGACCCTTTGATAACTTTACTCTGAACTTCTATGTAACACTTGTAAGTCATACTATGAAATAAACTTTACTTACATGTATGCCAATGAAAACCCTTATCTTATGCCAATAAAAAAGCTTATCTTATGCCAATGAAAAAGCTTATCTTAAGCCAATGAAAAAGTTTATCTTATGCCAATGAAAAAGCTTATCTTATGCCAATGAAAATGCTTATCTTATGCCACTGAAAAAGCTTATCTTTCATCAGAGCATAAGTTTACTCTTGCTAGAGAAAAAAAGGTGACAAGTTCCAAATTGGTTAAGAATGATTGGACCCCAATCCATAACATTTCTTTGAATTCTTCGCTTTATCAAAGCATAAGGATGAAATAAGAGGCATTAAGCTCCTAAGCATATGTAAATGTTTTCTTTTTTAAATAACCCTTCCATGCTTTTTAATTCATAGGTTTACTATCTTTTTCTTTCGTTATTGCACCTTTGAATTGATAACAATCTCATATCATGTTAACCATTTCGTATATCTATCGATCGATTTATTTATACTTTGCTTGCACTTTGGTCAATTAAAGTGTTATTATAGATTCCTTGTTTCATTTCTGGTCCATTATTGTTGAATATTTGACATTTTGTTTGTAATCACTGATTACCCAGTATTTTGGTCCATTACAGTTTAATTTCTTGACCATAACAGTTTTGCTTTCTTCTAATACAATTTAATTTTTGGTTTTATAACCAGTTGGTTTTTTATTGTGAAAATTCTTCATTCAAATTTTTTTAATTCCGTTATAGGTCGAAAACAGTTTGTTTACTATAATTAACATATTGTGATAGAAAACTTGTTAAGTTTGTCATACAGCTTAAGGTCATTTGACTACATATATGTAAATTTAAGTTAATCAGTAATTTCCATGCATGTCATAGATTTGTACAACCTTTTTACTATTTTT